GCACGTCCAATCCCCCCACCTACCACTCCCCAACCAGGCGATATAGCCGCCGAGCGGTGGGTAGCGCTACCCGCCAAGCGGTACTGGCAACTGACGCCGCGAAGTAGCTTTTGCAGAGACGCTAAAGCGCTTTCAGAGTATTAGCCAATTCGAGCCAAGTTTTAGTAATTGTCTATGAAAGCTCATCTGCAGTGGCGTACTCCCCTATTTATGAAGCTGATGCTTAGGTAAACCCGTATAGTCTCAGTTTTTATACGTTTTGTGCGGTAACAGTTGCACAAGACGTTGTGTTCCGGGTGCATTTTATCTGGTAGTTTCAGCTCTGGAACCAGAAAAGCTAGGAAGCTGAAATTTTAGTAGAATGTCCCTCGCTGCAAGTTTAATTCAGTTTGTATACAAAATCGCTGTATTTAACGCGTTCTTAAAATCAAGGCACACAACAATTACAAATGCTGGCTTCGGGGAGTATAGAAAAACGAACAAAAAAGACACTATGAAAGCTATTGAAAGGCACAACTGAGGCAGAATAACTCAGGCAGTAAACTATTGGGGATTCGATTTCAAAATTTTGTTGGCTTTTTTTGAGGAGGTATATAACCGCGGGGTCGAATAAGCATTTGCACAGCCGAAAGACGCTGTCCGTTCCAGACAAGTCCAGGATATGCTCCTTGCGCTTTGTTCATTGCCGTGAGTACACCTTTTTGTTGGCAGTGTTTTCGCCACCATCCGCCTCCTTCTTCACATTTCTTTTCAGAACTGGTTTGGAATGGACACATTTGACTGTCCGCCAAGTCGTTCGCCACTAAAATGAAACAGTCACTCTTTGAAGCCTGGCTGTCATACCAAGTGCCGTAATTTCTGGAAAACAACCATCAGCACTTTTTGCGAAAGCAGCTAGGAATGAAGCTCAGATTGGTATCCAAGGAATGGGAATGCTTTTGGCCTCTTTCCCCAATTTTTTATTTGTTTAAGCCGATTGTTAACTTAAACAGTTAATCCACATTTTTTTCTTTCGGTACGTCTCACTTCTTCAGACTGAATTTGATGCCCGATTTGCAAATGAACGCTGTCCACGAAAAGCGAATAACTTCTTGCGAGCTATGGCCATCTTTTCACTTAAGCAAATTTTTATCTTTTTTTATCTCACCCTCATCCAAACCTTATTTCTTCCTTTTGTGGTACCATAAATAAAAGCGGCTCAGTTCCAAATTTTTAGAAAACTTGCCGTTGAAGCCATTCCCAAAAACAATATTTCCTATGTTGAGTCGGTAGTCCAGCAGTCTCTCGCAAACAACGAATTGTGAATACCGTACCAAAATAATTTGTCCATTTGTAGCTGCACGCAATCGTAACAGTAATTCATTTGGGCACTGAGGGCGATTCGTCAGGCGGTACATGCGCTCCAGCCCTGGGATTTACAACTTCTCACAGTTTAACCTTTCTCCTAATAATTACGAATAATGCTCGTCCAGACATCTGGCGGAGTTCCTGGAGTGCGCTCGAGAAACATCTGCCTGCTAATCGAATTCCCAGCACAACCGCGTACAGCCGTAACGTTCGCTACCTTAGTGCTTAGCTGCACAGTTATTGACGGTCGAGTTGACACATAGAAACTTCAGCATACAAGTACTGCAGCTATGTTGTTTATATAATGTACACAGTACATGTAC